ATGAGGAAGAAATGCCTACGAGAGCGAGGGCTCAATCATCAACAAATTTTTGCACGACCTATACATATGATAGCCATGTTTTACGAAGCAACATTATATAGAGGGACACATGTACATGTATAGAAAGAAAACCCATGCACTATAGCAATGTGTGCGTTTTGACTTGCTCTTAAGTGGAGAACCATAATCTACATACTAGGATTTTGGTTCCACTGTTAATTGGCTTACTTTGACGAACAAATCATGCCTCTACACTTGATTGTGGATCGTGCGTCTTGTTGGGTTGGTTTGAAAAGATAATAGTGGATCATGGATTCTAGCACAAGTGGGAATGCCCTCACATATAACTTGTTATTTACCTATAAGGTACTTATCCACTTCTAAATTGTATTTCTGTGTGCTTTAGATTTTTGTGGAACTCCAGAAATATTATTTTAAACTAAAATTCAATTACTATGATTTTTTGGATAGGTTTCTGAATTTTAAAATGTTTTTATTTGCTTAAAAAAAAACCCTACAAGGGTATTTTGGAATTTTAAAATTGCAAGGGTATTTTCGGAAATTCATTTTTAGGTGGAACCCACGTGAAGAGGGCAGAGGGTATAGCCTTTCGCACATGTAGGGCCCACAAGGCTGGGACATGTGGTCCCAGATGGGCCACACATGCCACACAAAATATCATTATTTTATTTCGAAAATATTAATTATTTTATTTGACAATAACTTTTTGAAATATTTTGTGAGATTTAAGGGGATCTAGAGTTTAATCACTATTTTATATCTTAATTACCCCTATGTGAGAAAGTAGGAAATCTGGAATATTCTGGATTGTTCTAGAATAACCTAGAAGATAAAATTATGATGAGACAAAATCTAGATTATTAAAAAGTGGATATAGGTCAAACATCAAGGGATAAGGTTCCTAAATATTCACTCTATATAATGATGATTGATCTGGAAATGAATGGCTCTAATGAATTCTCCCTCTTAGATTACCTAAATATTTTGGATACTGCTGAATCCTAATCTAAGTGGGACTCCCAAGGCCCCCATAAGGGCTATCAATAAGAGGTGGATCTCCTCATTCTCTACACATCAGATCTCTCCCATCTCCCTCTCTTGTCTTTGCACCCTCTATAGCCCTCTCTCTCTCTCT